AACAACCCATTTAGTTTAAAATAGAAAAGCAAGGCAAAACATTTGTGTATAGATATAAAAAAAATATATAGATAAATGCCTTTTTTTTCATTTTTTGTAAGTAACCACAAAATCTCTGGTCTCAGCTGCATAAGGGACTTGGTGGAAGCGGAGAAACAACATCACACTGATCTTCCCAGTGCATGGCTATGCAGGGGGGCATGTCAACATAATTCTGACCATTGGAGGACAGGCAGGCTGTTCTCCCAGCACAGCAAGAAAACTGACTATGTTGGGATGGATGGGCTCTCATACGTAGTGTAGCGCATCCCCTAAAGAGTCGCTGGTGAATTTGGTCCTATTCCCCCCTTAGAGCACACAGAGCCAGGCACACAACATTTCCTACACTCTTCCAAAGAACAGTCTATGGGTTTCTGCTGGAGACCTGTTTTCCTTCCAGAGTTAAAAGCTACATACATCACTACTCTTCAGTGCTGGAGTAATCTACTCAGATAGCCACAGGATCATCGGTTGCCTCTTGCCGATATCCACCAGGCTTTTCCTACTGAGATTCAGTTGCACACCATCATAGGACAGCTGGACTCGTTCCCACCAACTTCCTCCTTGTCCTCTCAAGTGAGCTTCTCCAGACCACCTAGATTGCTGGACTTAACCACTTGCTTACTGGGCACTTATACCCCCTTCCTGCCCAGGCCAATTTTCAGCTATCAGTGCTGTCACACCTTGAATGACAACTGCGCGTTCATGCAACATTGTACCCAAATGACATTTTTATCATTTTTTTTTACACAAATAGAGATTTCTTTTGGTGGTATTTAATCTCCACTGGGTGTTTTATTTTGTGCGCTATAAACAAAAAAAGAGCAAAAAATTTGAGAAAAAAAAAAGGTTTTCTTTGTTTCTATTATAAAATTTTGCAAACAGGTAATTTTTCTCCTTTACTGATGTACATTGATGAGGCTGCACTGATAGGCAGCACTGATGAGCACTGATAGGCAGCATTGATGGGCACTGATAGGCAGCATTGATGGACACTGATAGGGGGAAACTGATAGGCACTGATAAGGAGCACTGATAGGTGGCACTATTGAGCTGGCACTGATGCTGCTGCACTGATATACAGCAATGATGGCACTGATAGGCGGCACCGATGGGCAGCATTGATGGGCACTGATAGGTGACTCTGACTGATGGCACTGATGGCACTGACTGGCGGCAATGCTGGGCACTGATGGGGGACACTGCTGGGCACTAGTGGGTGGCACTGCTGGGTACAGGTGCGTGGCACTGATAGGCACTGTTGGGCCCAGGTGGGTGGCACTGCTTGGCACATGTGGGTAGCACTGGTGGGTGGCACTGCTGGGCACTGATCATCATGAGATTGAATCGCACACCATCATAGGACAGCTGGACTCTTTCCCACCTACTTCCTCCTTGTTATTTTAAGTGAGCTTCTCCAGACCCATCTTGATTATTGGACTTAACCACTTGCCTACCGGGCACTTATACCCCCTTCCTGCCCAAGCCGATTTTCAGCTTTCAGCGCTGTCGCACTTTGAATGACAACTGCGTGGTCATGCAACATTGTACCCATATTAAATTTTTTAGCATTTTTTTCACACAAATAGAGCTTTCTTTTGGTGGTATTTAATCGCCACTGGGTGTTTTATTTTTTGCGCTATAAACAAAAAAATTAAAAAAAAAAATTTTTGTTTGATTCTATTATAAAATTTTGCAAATAGGCAATTTTTCTCCTTCACTGATGTGCATTGATGAGGCTGCACTGATAGGCAACACTGATGGGCACTGATAGGCAGCATTGATGGGCACTGATAGGTGGTACTGATGGGCATTGATAGGCGGCAATGATGAGGTGGCACGGATAGGCAGCACTGATGAAGTGGCACTGATGCTGCTGCACTGATATGCAGAAATTATGGGCACTGATAGGCAACACTGATGGGCAGCACTGATGGACACTGATGGGTGGCACTGACTGATGTCACTGCTATGCACTGATGGGTGGCAATGCTGGTTAGCACTGATGGTTGGCACTGCTGGGCACTGGTGGGTGGCACTGCTGGGGACAGGTGGGTGGCACTGTTGGGCACTTTCCTGACATTGATGGGAGGCACCGCTGGGCACTGGTGGGTGGCACTACTGGGTACAGGTGGATGGCACTGCTAGGCACTGCTGGGCACTGATAGACAGCCCTGATGGGCACTGATAGGCAGCATTGATGGGCACTGATAAGCAACACATAAGTGCCCTGATGATCAGTGCCGATCTGTTTTCTGACAATTGCCGGTTATCGGCAGTACTTTCCTCACACTGTGACAGCTGATCACGTGGTAAAAGGCCGCTGTAATTGGCCTTTTACCACATCACATGATAAGCTGTGTCCGTAGGATACACTGATCACAGAGATCGCTAGGTGCGCGCCGCTGGGGGCGCATAGGTGGGTGCGTTCTGGAAGTACGTCATATGACGCCCTCCCAGAACTGGACAACCGCGCTGTAGCCGTCATGCAACTATAGCATGGTTGGGAAGTGGTTAAACTTGTGCATAGGCCCCCCAGCTAAGTCTAACAGGGACCTTGATGTCTTCACAAAGGCCATTCTAGCATTCCTGCCCGTGGGGCAGGCCCCTGCACAGGGGTCTCATCCAGCAGGACTAGACCCAGGAACTAGACCCACTGCTGCCTCAGGCCTCAGACTATTTATTGGCTCTCCAGCCACCTATTGTGCACACAGCATCAGGGATTGGCTGAAGCCCCAAAAATATTCAGACTACCTACTCTGTTCATTCTCTCGCTATAATTCTAGATTCCTTCAGAATACAGGGGGAAGTAATCAGGACAGCAGCCTATGAGACACTGACCAACCCTAACCAATCAAACCCTGCTCTACTGAGAACAGAGGAGCTAACTACATTTACCTAGCAGCCTACAATACACTAGGAGTGTGCCACACTAGTGCAGTCACTTTGAAAGAGGACAACAGGGAAATTGGCAGGGTCATCAAGTATTCACACAAAGGAAGTAATACAAAGAGAACAGGATACTTCTTAACACAAGTACATAGAACAAGATACACATATCAGGAATATAAAATGTTGGGGTCATAGATTCTTCAAGGATGTGTCAGTTGAAGTGGGCATTAATGCCCAGAGTGCTGCTGTGCTTGCATTTACCAAGTGTTGACATATCAGCTGTGAGTGAAATGCACCATTAACAGTTAAAGTAAATGTGAACCCTCACCTTATAAAACAACACATTCAGTTTAAAATAGAAATGAAAGGCAAAACATTTGTGTATACATATAAAAACATTTTTAGAAGTGATCACATAGCCTGTTCTCTGCTGCATAAGGAGCTCAGGGAGGAGAAACAGCAGAACTCCAGTCTTCTCAGTGAATTACTGTGTGGGAGTGGGGCAGGGAACACATCAGCATGTCTGATCATTGGAAGAGTATACAGGCTCAGTTCCCAGCACAGCAAGAACACTGACCATGCTATGCGTTAGTGCATTTTGTGGTCATTTTTAATAGAAAAGCAGAAGGACTGGCAAAAATAGCAGGTATTTCACACAAAGGAAGCAATACATAGAGAGCAGGATACTTTTTCAAGTATGTATAGTAGAAACATATCAGGAATATGAAATGTTGGATAGGAAATATGAAATCTTTCATAGGATGGGAGAAGCTGATTCATTACTATCAATGTTCTTATTGGTAATCATTGCTGCTTCCAAAATCTTTAGCTATGTCCATATTACTGTGATGTTTATTTTGTTCTTACTGTCAAACCCAAATTTATGAGCTGATCCTAATGTTTACAACTCTGCCCTCCTGTTCTCTTGTTGTCTCTTGTAGTCCTCCTTTGGTGTGAGATGTTTGTCCTGCTAGCCATGTGTCTCCCCTATGCATTCCTAATTGATTAATTGGCAATACCCCCACCCAACTCAGTATAACGTTAGGCCTTCCTTAGGGGAGGCACAGCCAGGGGTAGCATTGGCGACTATCATCTTGGATAAAGTATTAATTTTGGATTAAGTATTGAACATTGCACTTCGACTCTGCACTTCAGCAATAGAACAAAGCAAGAAGTCACAGCAGACAACTCCAAATAATAAACAGACTACAGGGGACCTGTTTCCCCATCCAGCTTTTTCATCTCTTACCCAGTCTGCTTCTTCAACTCGCCACTCTTGTAGCAATATGTTATATGCTGCGTATGGCCTCTAGGGGTCTCACTACTTAGATACTGGTACAACTGTGTTATTGCCTCTCTTTGGTTGTAGTTCTAATGCAGACACATGTTTAATGGCAGCTAGGAGCACCTAATAAAATGTCTGCTACTAACTACAGTATGTGAGCATCTGAGCAGGATCGACTAACAGAACATGGTGGCAGCTGGGCACTGGACCTCTGAATAGCAAGTCTTCTGTCTACAAATACAGATTGTGTGACACTAGAACTGTACAGAGAATCAGCAACTGTAAGTACAGAGTCCTTATCAGACTGCACTATGGAGAGTGGCCTGAAACCCCCTCAGAGACTGGATGTCACTTCTTCCAATCTCTCACAGACATGGAGACACTGGAAGGAAGAGTTTACTCTGTATGTGGACCTGACAGTGGCACCCAGAGATGAGCAGAGGGAAGTAAAGCTGTTTTATTACTTGATTGGGGAAAAAGGCAGAGAACTAGCCGAGACCCTGCTCACAGACAGCATGGCACTGACAGACATACTGCAAGCATTTGATAAGCACTGTGACCCCAAAAAGAATGAGACAGTGGAGAGATACAAGTTCTTCTCAAGGAATCAGGAGATTGGGGACAGTGTGGACAGATGTCAGGAATGGACTGGCCAGCAATGGTGGGACTCACCTGCCTTTTGATCTGCAGTACCAGGGCTGGCCAGCGGGTGCTCCCAGCAATCAGAGACTCAACCTTTCAGCCAGCTAACACCTGGAACTGATGATACTGGTGTATTTAAGGGATGGCCAGACTTGCAGACTCTGCCTTGGTGTTCTGTTTGTCCTGGGCCCTGTATCTGTCCTGCATCCTGTTTCTGTTCCTTTGCTGACCCTGCCTGATCTGAACCGCTGCTGACTTCTCCTGCTCTGATCCCGGCTCGCTCCTGACCATCCCTCTGCCTGACCCTCTGTACCATGCTGCTTGCTACCTGTTCTGATCCCTGGCTTGTGACCCTGACCATCCCTCTGCCTGACCCTCTGTACTACGCTGCTAGCTACCTGCTGAACCTGGCCTGTGACCCCGACCCATCTCCGCTTGCTCCCCCTGTACCTACCTGCCCTATTGATATTGACCCGGCCTGCCTGACGACGCTTGCTTGTATGTACTGTTATCTGTGGGTGGTTGGTTTGGTTTGTTTGCACTGTATTATGTTTTAGTATTGCACTGCGTTTATGTTTGTATTGTTAGTGTTAATAAATTATATTGTTTATCACATATCTGAAGTCTGCGTTTCCCTGCGTCAGTCACACACCTCTGGTCACACCTGGGAGCCCTGACATTACACCAAGGCCAATCCTGACCAGAAGTGGCTGCACAGGGAAGCCATCTTGGCTTGTTGATGGGAAGGATGGATCTGGATGAGGTTGCGTATTTATATCTGCTAGTGTTTGATGACAGGGAGTATGCTTATCAAACTCTGAAGGAGTATACCCGGGATGAACTGCTAGAATGTATACGGCTCGCTCATGTTCTAGTAGATCAGGGCACAGAGTTCTCTGAGGTGCAGCCTTTGATTGAGGTTTGTGCTGAGTTGGTTTCATCTGGTACCCCCGAATGCAGGGATGAATTTTTGCCACCATTTAGTGCAGACCAGGTAGAGTCCCTGGTGTGGTTATTAGAGGATGATGTGGGTTACTTTCTGGAGCGTTATTCCACATGTTCACCACAGGTACTAAGATTGTATAAACGCAGTGCAGTCTTTGGTCAGACAGGCTTTGTGTAAGCTCAGCTTTGTTCAACCCATACTGCAGACATGGACAGACTTGTTGCACCCAGCCTCAGTCAGCTTACAAAAACCCAGTCCTGCTTCTAATCTATTTCCTCAAAACTCTATTCCTGCATTCCCAACAGCTCCTCCTGCCCTGCTATCTACCGCATGTCAGTACCCTGTTCCCACTCGCTGCACCTATCCTGCCTTTAACCCTGTAAAAAAGCCCTCTGTAGCAACTGCTCCCTCTCCTGTTCCATCCTCCAGCTCTTCTCTGTCTCCAGCTGCTCCATTCGTTTGCAGACCTGCGTTTACTTGCAGTGCTCCAGTAGTTAAAACCAGAAAAAAGCGAAAATTCTTTCCAACCAATACCATCCTGCCAGTATCCAAACCGGTGAACCTGCCTTCCGTGGTTCAGCCTGAAGCCTCTACTCAGCCTGATGCCTGTACTCAGCCTGATGCCTGTACTCAGCCTGATGCCTGTACTCAGCCTGATGCCTCTACTCAGCCTGCCTGAGCCTGCTCTCTCTTCTGCCTGATGCCTCTACTGCCTGCCTCTACTCGGCCTGAAGCCTCTCCTGAAGCCTCTCATCGGCCTGAAGCCTCTACTCGGCCTGAAGCCTCTACTCAGCCGGACACCGGCATTCAGCCTGATGCCTCTACCCAGCATGATGAACTGATCCAGCCTGACGATCCTATTAGGCCAGTTGACTCGATGCCCGCTGTTGATCCAGATGATCCGGTACCTGATCCGGTGCCCGCTATCGTGCCAATTGACTCAGAGCCCGCTGTCGTACCTGGTGACTCGGTGCCCACTGCCTTGCCAGATGACGCGGTGCCCGCTGGCGAGCCAAATGACCTGATGCCTGGTGACCCAGGGCCCGCTGTCATACCTGGTGACCCGATGCCCGCTGTCGAGCCAGACGATCCAATACCTGGTGACCCGGTGCCCGCTGTCAAGCCCAGACAATCCGGTACCTGATGACCCGGTGCCCACTGTCGTGCCTGTTGACTCGGAGCCCACTGCCTTGCCAGATGACGCGGTGCCCGCTGTCGAGCCAAATGACCTGATGCCTGGTGACCCGATGCCCGCTGTCCCAGTCAGACGATCCAATGTCTGACCCAGTGCCCGCGCGGTCATACCAGTTGACTCGGAGCCCACTGCCTTGCCAGATGACGCGGTGCCCGCTGTCGAGCCAAATGACCTGATGCCTGGTGACCCAGTGCCCGCTGTCATACCTGGTGACCCGATGCCCGCTGTCGAGCCAGACAATCCGGTACCTGATGACCCGGTGCCCACTGTCGTGCCTGTTGACTCGGAGCCCACTGCCTTGCCAGATGACGCGGTGCCCGCTGTCGAGCCAAATGACCTGATGCCTGGTGACCCGATGCCCGCTGTCCAGCCAGACGATCCAATGTCTGACCCAGTGCCAGCGGTCATGCCAGTTGACTCGGAGCCCACTGTCGTGCCTGGTGACTCGGTGCCCGCCGCTTCGCCTGAGGGCCCGAGACCTGTCGCTCCGCCTGGGGGTCCGGCGCCCGCCGCCCGCCTGGGGGCCTGTGAGACCTGTCGCTCCGCCTGGGGGCCTGAGACCTGTGCTCCGCCTGAGGGCCCGAGACCTGTCGCTCCACCTGGGGGTCCGGTGCCCGCCGCTCCTGCCTGAGGGCCCGAGACCTGTCGCTCCGCCTGGGGGTCCGCGCCCGCCCGCCGCTCCGCCTGAGGGCCCGAGACCTGTCGCTCCGCCTGGGGGTCCGGCGCCCGCCGCTCCGCCTGAGGGCCCGAGACCTGTCGCTCCGCCTGGGGGGTCCCGGCGCCCGCCGCTCCGCCTGAGGGCCCGAGACCTGTCGCTCGCTCCGCCTGGGGGTCCGGGCGCCCGCCGCTCCGCCTGAGGGCCCGAGACCTGTCGCTCCCCTGGGGGTCCGGCGCCCGCCGCTCCGCCTAAGGGCCCGAGACCTGTCGCTCCACCTGGGGGTCCGGCGCCCGCCGCTCCGCCTGAGGGCCCGAGACCTGTCGCTCCACCTGGGGGTCCGGCGCCCGCCGCTCCGCCTGGGGCCCGAGACCTGTCGCCCCGCCTGGGGGTCCGGCGCCCGCCGCTCGCCCGCCTGGGGGCCCGATGCCTGTCGCCCCGCCTGGGGGGGGGTCCGGTGCCCGCCGCCCCGCCTGAGGGCCCGATGCCTGTCGCCCCGCCTGGGGGCCCGATGCCCTGTCGCCCCGCCCTGGGGGGCCCGGTGCCTGTCGCCCCGCCCGGGGGCCCGGTGCCGTCGCCCCGCCCGGGGGCCCGGTGCCTATCGCCCGCCCGCCCGGGGGCCCGGTGCCTGCTGCTCCGCCCGGGGGCCCGGTGCCTGCTGCCCGCCCGGGGGCCCGGTGCCTGCTGCTCCGCCTGGGGGCCCGGTGCCTGCTGCTCCGCCCGGGGGCCCGGTGCCTGCTGCTTCGCCTGGTAATCCGATCCGTGCCTCTGCCCCGTCCTGCCCGGGGGCCCTCTGCCTGTGCCTCTGCCCGGAGTCCTGCCCGATGTGCCCCTGCCCGGAGTCCCTGCCCGATGTGCCTCTGCCCGGAGTCCAGCCCGATGTGCCTCCTCCCTGCCCGATGTGCCTCTGCCCGGAGTCCAGCCCGGTGTGCCTCTGCCGCTGTGCCTGTGCCTCTGCCCCCGCCCTGTGCCTCTGCCGGGAGTCCTGCCCGATGTGCCTCTGCCCGGAGTCCTGCCCGATGTGCCTCTGCCCGGAGTCCTGCCCGATGTGCCCCTGCCCGGAGTCCAGCCCGATGTGCCTCTGCCCGGAGTCCAGCCCGATGTGCCTCTGCCCGGAGTCCTGCCCGATGTGCCTCTGCCCGCTGTGCCTCTGCCCGATGTGCCTCTGCCCGATGTGCCTCTGCCCGGAGTCCAGCCCGATGTGCCTCTGCCCGGAGTCCAGCCCGATGTGCCTCTGCCCGGAGTCCAGCCCGATGTGCCTCTGCCCGGAGTCCAGCCCGGTGTGCCTCTGCCCGGAGTCCAGCCCGGTGTGCCTCTGCCCGGAGTCCAGCCCGGTGTGCCGCTGCCCGGAGTCCTGCCCGGTGTGCCAGTCTTTGATATCCCGCCAGTTACCAGACCCGGGCGGTGGAACATTTTGCCCAGCTAGGACTGTTTGGAGCGTCCTGAGGCCGCTCCTTGAGGGGGGGGTACTGTCAGGAATGGACTGGCCAGCAATGGTGGGACTCACCTGCCCTTTTGATCTGCAGTACCAGGGCTGGCCAGCGGGTGCTCCCAGCAATCAGAGACTCAACCTTTCAGCCAGCTAACACCTGGAACTGATGATACTGGTGTATTTAAGGGATGGCCAGACTTGCAGACTCTGCCTTGGTGTTGTGTTTGTCCTGGGCCCTGTATCTGTCCTGCATCCTGTTTCTGTTCCTTTGCTGACCCTGCCTGATCTGAACCGCTGCTGACTTCTCCTGCTCTGATCCCGGCTTGCTCCTGACCATACCCCTCTGCCTGACCCTCTGTACCACGCTGCTTGCTACCTGTTCTGATCCCTGGCTTGTGACCCTGACCATCCCTCTGCCTGACCCTCTGTACTACGCTGCTAGCTACCTGCTGAACCTGGCCTGTGACCCCCGACCCATCTCCGCTTGCTCCCCCTGTACCTACCTGCCCTATTGATATTGACCCGGCCTGCCTGACGACGACGCTTGCTTGTATGTACTGTTATCTGTGGGTGGTTGGTTTGGTTTGTTTGCACTGTATTATGTTTTAGTATTGCTCTGCGTTTATGTTTGTATTGTTAGTGTTAATAAATTATATTGTTTATCACATATCTGAAGTCTGCATTTCCCTGCGTCAGTCACACACCTCTGGTCACACCTGGGAGCCCTGACAACAGATATGTGACAGAGCTGAGGAGACTGGCTGCAACCTGTGGATTTGGGGACATCAGGGACTCCCTTATCCGAGACAGGATAGTGTGTGGCATCAGAGACTCTCACCTCAGAGAAAGATTACTGAGGGAGGAAGAGCTGGCTTTGGAGAAATGTATACAAATCTGCAGGGCTGCTGAGCTGACTAAAGACAGGCTGAAGATGATGGAGGGCACCAGTGAGGCCTCAGTACATGCAGTATCTGTGAAAGGCAGAGCAAGGTCCAGGCTCCCTGTGAGCTCAGTCCAATGTAAATACTGTGGCAAAAGACATGAAAGAGACAAAGCGAAATGTCCAGCGTATGGGGAGTCCTGCAGGACTTGTGGCAAGATGAACCACTTTTCAGCTGTGTGCAGATTCAAAACCAGCAAACAGTACAGACAAGTCCACACAGTGACCCAGGACACAGACGAGGACAGCACAGAGGGCATCACATGGCTGCAGCTGCAGTCTGCAACAGAGAACGTCAATGTAGTCAAACAGCCAGTAGCCAATGATGCAAAGCAGCTCTTTGCCATATTTATGGTGGATGAACAGCCCATAAGATTTCAGCTGGATTG